ATATGAAAAGAAACACAAAAATGAGGGCAGGAGTATATTGCTACTTCCCTTGTCCACTTAACTGATTCTATTCATACTATTATAGACAGTTTATTTGTAATGTCACTAACTAGAATAGACAACTTATAGCTAGTCATTTTCATCATGTAAAATACATAAATTGAGTCTACTCATTCCCTTCTATTTGTCTCCAAAATTCAAATCCAGTTCACTATTTTCTTTCTTCCAACTTATAAATTCTGTACCCCATTTAAGTTACGGTTATTGGGGCTGGGGAGATAGCTCAGTAGAATAAGTGCTTGCCTGGCAAGTGCAAGGGCCTGAGTTCAATTTCAAGTTCTGAAAAAAAAAAGACATGGTTATTATAATTCCAAGTCTCAGTTGTGTTTACACCCACTTCATCTTTCCCATGTTCAAAGTGTCAACACCAAGTTGCTTCATCCTAGGGACAGCTGAGCTGCAAACAGAACTAAACGTTTCGTTATTTTGCTCAATTATCCAAGACAAGTGTGCTACTGTGTTACATGTGAAATGTCATCTTTTAAGTCTCCTAAAAGTGTATTATGAAGTGATCCATCTGAAAAAATGTAATGTAGAAAATAATTATGACCCATTTTGTTGCTTTTGTTTTCAGTTAATGCTTCCATGACTGCTAATATATACTATTTAATGTTACAGATACAGGTTCTAAAGTCATTCAATTTAAAGGTCAGTGAGATAGCTCAATAGACTAAGTGCCTGCTTAGGCAAGGGCAGGAACCAGGGCTTGATCCCCAGCACCATATGCCATGCCTGCCCTGCCCCAAGGTACGCTGAGCCAACCACCGAATCCAGGTGTGGGGGTACATGCCTGTAATCCCAGTGCTGAAGAAGCTGAAAACAGAAGGCTCATTATGAGTATGAGCTGCATAGTGAGAACCTGTACAAATACATAAAATAGATAATTAGATAGATAGATTAGATGGATGGATAGACAGACAGACAGACAGACAGACAGACAGACAGATATTAGAAAGTCACACAATTTAGACTCATTTCCAATCATCACTAGCTGGTATGTAAGTTAATCAGATTCTCTGATCTTTTGTCTTATCTGTAAAACTGAGATACTAATGGATGCTGCCCAAAAGTTTTATGAAAGTGAAGTAAAGTAATACCTGGAACAGAATGCGCAATAAGTGTGATTTTCTGCCCTTTTTGTAAATGTACAAAACACTATTCTTTATACAGAGAATATTAGGTAACTCAATAATATTTGGAAATTAGGTTGGACAAGTTGGTTTTGCAAACAGTCCACTGAGCTTCTGTATAACTTCATTTTTATTTTAAAGGAGGAAAAAGAAAGAGTTGGAAGTTCAATGTTGAAGCTTCTTGAGTCTCAGACTGGAGCGGGTTAGGACCACCCAGCCAACATGGAAAGGGAGGCGCTGTCCGTGGTGCTAGTATCTGGGATTGCCCTGGAAATAATTTCCCTGCACAAAATTCTTTTTAGTCACCTTGGTTAGTAACCATCACATATCTGCCCCATGGATGTCTCAATCATTCTATTTATTGACTTTTCTCCCCATCTTACTTATTTCTTCTATGCCTCTTTCAAAGAAAAATGCTTCCCTTCTATTCCCTTATCAACTCCAATCTATTTTTTATGAATTAATTAACGTGATAATGGGGATTAAATATAGGGCCTTCAAAATGACCTACAGTCTCAAGCCCCTCATTATATTTTTCCTTTGAGACAGGGTCTCACTAAATTATCCAGGATGAGTCAAATTTGAAATCTCATCTTAGCTTCCCAGAGTGCTGGCATTTCATGTATGCACCACCATATCCAGGAACTATATTCAAACATATTGGCCATGCCTACCACTTAAGGAAGTGGCTCTAAAATTGTTCCACACTATCTTTTCTGGCCTTTTTATAAGTTTCAGAGAAGCTCGAAGTCCAAAGTGAGAACACAGGAGCCAGATCATTTCTGATTTTATCTTCTAAAGAAATTCTTCAGTTGATGCCTATTCTAAATGATTCACTGCACCTTTACTCTAAGTAGTTTCCCTCCTAGTTTTAATTTTATCTTTTATTTTCCCTTATTTTTAATCTCACATGATCATACAGATATATATTTATTAAACTGGAATTCCCGATCAGTTTTTAGTGCCACTGGGGAGGACTTTTTATTTTAAAGAGAAAAAAAAAAACATAACAATATCAATAAAAGCTTCAAAACAGGCTAGGGGACAGTAATAATAATTAATACAATGCATATTCTTATCTTCATAGTGATTGTTCAGAATATAAGATATTGGCCTGAAAATTGTTCAAACAATATTAGTTCAAATGTTTCTTTTCAATGAACTAAGAAAAACTAGCTATATAACTATCTTAACTATTTTGTATGTATGTATTTTTTTCCTTTCTTCCTTTTCCCTTTCCCTCATCCCAGTTTCTCTTTTGAAAAGCATCTTCCCAATCCATATTATCTATTATACATTTTCGATCTTATGTACTAGTTCAGTTTCTCACATTAATGAGACAATATGAAGTTTATACATGTGGGCCTGATTTATTTCATTTATAAGTATATTCTCAAGTTGCATCCATTTATGTATAAAACTCTCAAGTTTATTCTTATTCTTGCCTGAGTAGTACTCCATTGTGTAAAAATATCACTTCTTTCTCTTTATTCCTCAACTGGTGGGCATTTGAGTTGTTTCCAAGATTTATCTATGACAAATTGTACTGTTATAAACATGGGTGCACATATATCACTATGGTGTGATGTTTTTAATTCTTCTGGGAAGATACCCAGGAGGGGAATAGCTGAGTCAAATGGGACCTCTAATCCTAGACTTTACTAAAATGTGAAGACTTTCTTAAAAGTTACAACCCATACATTACTCAACTGTGGACTCTGAGAATATGGGGCATGTTGAGTTACATTCTATTGAACTAAATTTAATTAATGAACTCATTAGAGAGAAGATCTCAACACTTTTTAAAATCAGTATTCTGTGTTTCATGTGACTACACCCTGAATTTCAAAGTACTGAGGTTTTTCTGATAAAAAATATCCATTTTCACCACATCCATTAACAGCAGTCTGTGACTCAGCCTCTCATGTACTGGCAAAATGTCAATGCCATTTATTTGAAAGGCCCTGGCTTCCCAGTACCGACCTTTCTTCTGCTCGGCCCATTCTACCAGAGCACCTGTAATCCTCACTCCAGGGTTTCATGACTACTTCCCAAAACAGACACCGAGTGCTTGTCCATATCGTTCTCCCACGAGGCTTCTGCTCCTCTCCCCGAACTTTAATAAAGGGCTAAAAAATTAAGAGAAGGACATTCTCTCCAGACAAATGTGGAAGTTCAAATAAAAGCTAAAGGAATTAAGAAATTGAAAATTAAGAAACAGATGTGGGGTAGGAACAAGGGAGAAGTTGGGATTCCCTTCTGTGTCTAAAGACTTTAGCCCTGTTGAGGCTCAGGAAGTGGACCATCCTCAGTCCCCACCACTCCCCCGACAAGTGAACTTGCCTTTATTCTGCAGGGGAAATCTGAAGCAAGCTCTATTGGAAAAAAACATGTCCTCTCAGTTTTGAATAAAAAAGGGACTGCCCTTCCTGTTTCGCTGAGCACCCAAGCGATCGTGTAAATAAGAGCTGTTCAGTGTGGAGGGTGGCCCGCTCTCGTGCAGGTTGCAGGCAACATATAATTTGTGGTTCTCTTCTGATTTCAATGTAGTATCAGTTGTAATATTTTAAATCTTTAAAGCAATAAGTATGTTGAGTCAAACTCACTGAGGGAGATCAGGAGGAAAAGAAGCACTTAATCTTATTCTTCAGAAGATTTAATGACAGGTTCAGCCTGTTTAATAACAGGCCCAGTACCACACCCATGTTTTATTATGTTTCATTAATACTGTATAAATGTCTTTTATTACTCATGATAAATAAAAACCAAATACTTGCTGATGTGAACTTAAATAGGTAAAAGTGGGGGGGAAAGTCATGAAACTTCGATCTTAGTTTTTCTGCCGTTGCTGTTTGAGCTTTTGTCTGTTTATTTTATTTTTTTTTTTATTGAGATGGGGTCTCATTATGTTGATCAGGCTGACCTCAAGCCCCTGGAGGCACACGACCCTGCTGTATTTTTATTTCTTAATATAATGTATCTATAATTCAACATTTAAAAGAATGTGGCAGTACATGCCAAACCAGATCGCTGGGTTTTTTCACTATTTTCCCGGCCGGCCAATTCTGATGAGAGGACACACCCAAGGGAGAGTTGCCAAAGTCCTGCAGCCCTGCAGCTTGCCAAGTTCCAGCAGCGCCTGAGGACGCGCTTGCTCCGCGCAGCCGGCTCGGAACTGCCGCGGGTAGACCTTTCAATAAAGTAGGAGTTACTTTCAAAGGATTTTCTCTCAGCCTCTCGATTGCGACGGGGAATGTCTAACTTCTCCAGAATAAAACTGCTTGGCCTTGCGCTAAAAGAATAGAAGTCCTGGGCTCCGCCTGCTGGGGACGAGGGGCCGAGCGCAGGGAACCAAGATTTTCACGCACAGCGGGGCGTACCGGACCGCAGTCCCCGCCGTCCCAGTTGTGCGCCGCCGCTCTCCCGCCCGTGTGGCGCATGCGTCCCAAGACTCTCCGGGAGGATTCCCCACCCCCACCTCCCACTCCGGCCACCTGCCCGGCCCCCGCGCCTGTGACGTCACCAGCTGCGGGCCCGCCCTCCCCGCGAGCCGGGTAGGAGGAGCAGCCCGACCCCGGCAGGGGGCGGGGCTTAAGGGGGCGGGGCGAGCCTGGCAGCCCGGCCAGCTGGGAGCCCAGCTCATTCCCGGCCGGCTCCCCAGGCCGTCGGAGCTGGCCTGCGCGCGAGGTTCTCTTACTGGGAAGGACCGGCGAGCGTCCGCGGGTTCTCGGCGCCGGGAAAAGTCCGGAGCTAACCACGGGCCCCTCGGCCCCTGCAAGGGCGCCAAGCCTCAGCGAGACTGACCTGTGAGGGCAGCGCCGGGGCGGAGAGGGCAAGAGAGTCGCGCAGCCCACCCTGAGGGCGGATTATCCGGGGCGCTGGGCCCGAAGGCTGCGCCATGCGGGACGAGGTCAAGGGCGCGCTCGGTGACGGCGGGGGCAGCGGCGGCGACTCGGACCTGGCCAACGCCGCGGCGCGAGGACAAGTGGAGAAGGTGCGGCAGCTCCTGGACGCCGGCGCGGATCCCAACGCAGTCAATCGCTTCGGGAGGCGCCCGATCCAGGTAGCTGGGCCCCGGGCCTCGCCGGCAGGGGGCGCGCGCGCGCCTCCGCGATCGCGGCGGGCGTCCAGACCTCCACCGTCCCGTGGGCAGCAGTCTGTCCCGCTGCAAGCGCAACTAGGGCTTGAGGCAGCTTTTACCCAGCAGAAGTCCCCCGGGAAGGAATGGGAACGGGAAAGAGAAAAAGAAAATTGCTTCTGCTTGTTGCAGGTCTCTAGGATCGAACTCAAGGCAGGAGGCGTAGTAGGCAAGTGCTTTATCACTCACCTAGTTCCCAAGCCCCAGCTTGCTTCTTAATTGCGGAAAAATAAATCAGTATTTGTTCTGCCTTCTTATCAAAGATTCAAGGAAGAGATTCAATGGGGAGGAAAGGGGGAAAGGTAAAGTCAGGGAAAGAGACTTTTGTCCGTCTAGTTTCCACGATAAACATAAATAAATTACAAGTTGCACGATCTAGATTGGATGTAAGGAATTCTACAAAATCGTATTATATTAAAAAAACTCACCGTGAACTTAATTTTAAACAGTTGTATGAAATGTTTTAATTTTTCCTCATAAAGGCTAGTTCAATTCAAAGAATTAAACAGGATTTCCCAATTACAATATTTAATTTATTTTATGTTAGAAGTGTCTCTTAAGTGAAGAGGAGAAAAAATGTGCTTATATAGTTTTAATAGTTTATCACACTCTGGATTTGAAATACAGTAACATTCCTACAGCAACTCTGAGGTCAGTTTTGAATGGCAAAGGATTTTCGTAAACGATTATTCTCTCCATTATTAATATACATATTCAGATTTTCAACTAATAATTCTGCTTTAATGTTTTTAATCCCTTTGAAATGTGAGAAAATGATTTTGCACATTACTTTAAACTATCATGGTCAAATCTGGTAGTCAGCCATCACCAATATCCAGAACTAAGTAGTTATTAAGGGTTTTGTTAATAAGGTTCATTTTAAGAAAAGTAACCATTCCTTGTAAGCCCTTAGAAAACTGGTACAACAAATAAGGGATATTTTAAACCAACAAAAATACTGTAAAATGGTCTTAAAGATTTAAAATGTTATTAATTAGAAAAACAAGTTTTCTTATTTACAACTTTAGTTCACAGTATTCTGAGATACTAAGCACCACTTTTTCTCTTTTCCTCTATGTGTAAGGTAGGCTTTGCATTACTACTAGAAATGGTAATACAGAGTTCTCATAGCCTTTAAGGGAGTAAACTTTAAGAGAGTAACTTTTTATGTTAAAAACACTAGATGTTTATTGCCTTTCAACCACATCATACATTTGAAAGCATGTAAACCTACAAAACAAATGACTGGGGCCTGGGGAGATAGCTCAGTAGAATAAGCGCAGGGTCCTGAGCTCAATCCCCATACCGCAAAAAAAAAAAAAAAAAAAGACTGATCTTGACATTTAGTTATCAAAAAGTAATTTTATTAGTAACATAAAAGCAAATGATTGCAGAAGTACATGTACACAAATGAATGCTATAAACTGTTTTATTAATAAAAATTATAAAACTTGCTATCTAACCTCCACGCTTTTATGAAGAAAAATATTTGCTAGTTAACATTGTGGTAATTATGAAGTCCTGTACAATGTAAATGTTGTGGCAGTTTTGTTATATTAAATAAATTGCATGAAAATTTTAGCCCACACCTATAATTTGAACTTAAAATCATTTTAATTTACTTTTCCCCCCTCTAATCCCCAACTTTGGATCAAATTATTAGACTACTATCTGTTTATGAGCACTGATACATTTAACAATGCAAAAGCAAGCCATCCACAGGATTGCTATGACAACTAAACAAAGTAAACCTTTTTTTAAAACTTAAGATGCTTGTTACTTTCTCCTTTGATGCACTAATCTAATATCATCAAAATGCCAGTTGACTACCTAATATTTTTACACCCACATTAATGGAGAAGTGAACAGGAAACGCAGCAAGCAGTGCAACTTCAGACTTTTAAGAACTATTTGAAGTCAGGTTAGGTGACGCAACGCAGACCTCCAGGAGGAAAAAGCAGGAGGATTGCCTGGAACTGTGGCCATCCCGAGACGTAGTGAGACTCTGTCTCAAAACAAAACAATACAAATGCCATTTAAACTTGACTCTGCCCATAACATTTTACAAAATGAATTCCCATGTTCCAAAGAAAACCAAGAATGTTTACCACAATGACAATTACTTTACTATTCTTTCTTGTTTCTGCATAAAGAATAAAATAGAATTTAATTTTAATAATAAAATAGAATTTTAAGAGTATAAATGGAAGAGGGGAAGTCACATCTCCCCTCAAGTGAAGAGAAACAGTTACCGCCAGGCTTGTACGCGCTGCGCTCCGCTCCGCTCTGTCGGGAAATCTCTCAGTACAAATGCGCTTCTTTGAAAAGGCTCTGCCCGGCGGCTCATTTCCCTCCGGGGTGCCCAGCCTTGCACAGCCTCACGGCCTCTGCTTCCTCCCCCAGGTCATGATGATGGGCAGTGCCCCTATGGCGGAGCTTCTGCTGCTCCACGGCGCGGAGCCCAACTGCGCAGACCCTGCCACGCTCACCCGACCCATACACGATGCTGCACGGGAGGGTTTTATGGACACGCTGGTGGCCTTGCACCGGGCTGGGGCGCAGCTGGACGTGCGTGACGCATGGGGCCGCTTGCCCGTGGACCTGGCTGAGGAGCAAGGCCACCGCGACGTCGCGAGGTATCTGCGCGCAGCTTCTGGGGACTGATGACGCTCCCTGCGGTGCCCACGTGACTTTTTTCTCCCTGGTACCCCACCCCAGCCTGGTTCATGTCACCTGCAAATGTGGAGGGGCGCAGTGCCTGAAAGCCTTCCCATCTCATCGGGACGCCTGAGAGCGAGAAAGGACCAACAGAGAATAAATTCACACACTTTTTGATGAATCTGTAGCCTGCCCTCAACACTCACCATAAAGCCAAACGCTGAGATACAGGGCCACATCTATTGCCAACAGGTTTTGGACCTGTGTGAAGGTCCCGATGCTTATTACTATTCAGGAATTTCTGGGGCAAAGTGCACTCGAAGTGCTCGGATCACCCTGGCTAGAGCTGGAGGCCGTGGGGATCAGCATTTCGTGGCAGTAATCACGGTATTTGCCCCGCTGAGTGATCTTCGAGGAGCTCCCTGTAAACCCAGGAAGTGGACTGTAATTTTTGGAAATTGGACGCAAACCTAAGGACTGATGAGCAGCTGGGAGGGTTTAGATGGGCTTTGACAGGGACTCGAGGATTTCTCCTGAAAGTCACACTAAATAGTCCTGTCTGGAAGCAGGGAGACACATCCTGCTCCACCAGGTAACAAAGCTGGACAGCGACTGATGGGAGTGGCATCACTAAAATTCCTCATCAGGGGGCCCAGCCCTAGCTCAGTTCTTTAAGTGGCTGCTTCCACAATAAAATTCCTCATCACTCCATGACCAGCTCACCAACAAGCGCTTTTACTCTTATTCCATTAAGGAAAGGTGCACAGCTTTCTGGTTATAATCAAAATCAAATAATGCAAAGAATAAAGTGGTATGTCCCAATAATCAGAGCAATTGTAGCAGTTAACTTTAGCAATGTGCTTTGTCTACTTAAGATAGGATACAGAAATGCCCCACCTCCGTGAATTGCCACTTGAAATGACTTCATGATTCTTTGTACTTTTGTGTTGTTTTAGTAACAAAATGGGAACACTGTGACAAGGGGAAGACTAACAAAATAATTTGAGGCCCTCAGCAAAGAGGGAGGCAAAATTACAGTTTCTTAAGGAAGCTATGGCCCTTTGGAAGCCCTTAGCGCTAATGCCTAGATGGCTTTTTTCCAGAACGGTATTTATCTTTGTTGGATTTATCCGATTATTTCATTGATAGAGTATCTCTACAAAATACTGCAAGTATCTTTTAAAGAATAGATGCCTTTGCCCAGTAAATCATCTTGGGATAGTTCCTAAGAGGTCACTGCAACCATACATGGAGCACAAAACTGATGAACATGATGGAATGTCTTTATCTGCTGACTGAACTAATGGTGCACTGCTTCTGGGTTTAATGTCCAGGGTGGCTTAACCCATTATAGCACTGGAACAACTCATACTTCACTATTTCAACAGAGAAAAAAATTGTGCAGCTTGCACTCCCAGATATGGCTTAAAAATGTACTTCCAGGGGGCCAGGGATATGGCTCAGTGGAATAAGCACTTCCCTGGCAAGCGCAAGGGCCTGAGTTCAATTCCCAGTTCTGCCAAAAAAAAAAAAAAAATGTACTTCCATCAACTTATCACTTGAGACATGCTGAAAGTTCAAAAGGATTCACTCCTTTCATCCTTCATAATGAATTCCAACTACTTGTAAAACACTGTACAAATTTATCATAGAAAATAAATGTGAAATCTATACTTCACTATCCTTTTAAGCATTCCCATTTCCTATTTAAAAGACAAAAGATGGAACAGAAAAAAAAATCAGAGGAAGGATCCATAAGAAGGATGCCTTTGAGTTAATTTTACAAGTCTTCTCAGTCAACACCATATTCTTCAAATTAATGTATTACAATAGTGAGGAAAGTTATTTGAAAACCTGACCGTAACTTATTGGGAAGAAATACATGTTTATTGGCACATAATTTGTACTATGCACACTTAAAAATACTTTAACACTTAAATCTGAGAAACAAGATGGAGTTTTGGTTTATTTTGTTTTTTGTTTGTGGAGAGGATGGTGATTAAAACCAGGGCCTCGGGCATGCTAGGCAAGCCCTCTGCCACTGAACTACATTTTCAGACTGCAATGAACTATATCTCCAGACCAAAAGAAGTAGTGTTTTCATGAATGACAGGCTAAAGGTCAGGAGACACTAATTCTATGATGTGCAAAACAAGTCCATCTGACTTCAAAGCTTTTTTTAAATTTATAAATAGTGGGAATTGACTTGGCTCCTGAAACTAGAGGTCATGGCAAGTCTATCCAGGGACCCAGGACACATCTAGTAAGAGCTTGCTACACCAAAACACAGCAAAAGCATCATGAGAGGGTGGCTGTCAAGCTCCAAGCCTCAACCACTTTAAGACTCTAACTTGGCTCATGAAGCCCTCAAGATCTAAACACTTCCATTAGGCCCCACCTCCCAAAACTCCTGCATTTGGGCACTAAGTTTCTAATGGGTGCTTTGAGGGTGTACACATTTAAACCACAGTGACAATCCTTTTTATGTACCAGTTTATCATCCATCCATACTAATCTTGAAGTCTCCTAAACAGGCTGTCTTCTCTCCCTTTCTGTCGTTGCAAAGTTTTCTTTCCATCTCCCACATTACCAGTCTAGTCATCTTAGTATGTGCCCTGCTAGGTTCTCCTTACGGAACAAGTTAACTGCTGAATGGGGACTACGTAACTGACCTAAAAAACCCCTATTTCATCCTGAGACTGAACTGCGCACCCCTCTTCTATGATGCCCCATATGTTGCTCTAGCACCACATTTTTTCTGGTTCTTTCCTGGGATACAGTAAACTCACCTAAGGCATGAGGTGGCGCTTACTTGGTTATTCTCCCAACCCCAAGCCATGGATCCTGGGATGGGCTCCATCCCCACTACATTCCCAGGCTTTTATTTGAGATAGGGTCTGGCCAACTGGCTAAGTTGCCCAGGCTGAGCTGGAACTTGTGATCCTCCTGCCTCAGACTCCCAAGCTGCCAGGATTTCAGGCCCGTGTTACCATCACCCAGCTTGCATTCCCTTTGCAGCCCCTGTATATCAGTACCTAGGCCACAGCAGACTCAGGGGAAACCAAGACAATGGTACACACATTTTCAAATATATTAAAATACTGATATAAATATCAATGTTTACTTATAGAAAATCAAGCCTAAAGAAAGAATAATACATTATGGCTTTCTATTCAAACATTAATCTGTCCATTTGAGATACAGTTTTTAATACATCAAAAGTATTTTTTGAAAATAAACATTACTTTAGTAATCTAAAAATAGATTATTTGCTGAAAGAGTGATATAAACTTTTATTTTGATTAATGTTTGACAGAATGGAATGCAGGATGAAGTATTTTATTTACACCAATCTAAAACATTTGTCACATTTTCATAGTTTTCTTAAAAGTTGGTTTTACAAGTATGTTGTATTTACAGAACATTAGCAGTCAAAATTAGGTCATAATTCAGAAAGTGAACTGTGTGTTTTCTGAAACTATAGCCCTAAATATCTACAGAATTCTTTCCACCATGTGGGGTTTTCAAATATATTAACATTGTGTTGGGAAAAGGGCTTGCATATCATTATCAGTAACTGCTAAGTTTGCAATTAGTACAAACAATTAATTTTTGGAAAAACTATAGATGGACTCTAAGAGAACCATTCATCAGTCAAGGATGAATAGCTAGGTCAATTGACATCTGCAGGGAATAGTGCCTTGAACAAAATTTGAATTCAAAAGAACTTCTTTGTAAGCCTGTGAAGTGGTGTGAGGTTACAACAGGTAGAATACACATACATACTACAAGGATACAAGTATTCTATCTATTTCTTTTTTATGGTATACTGTCAATTTATGGTGCAGACTCACAGGATACAAATGATGTTATAATCTATGAATAAAAGCAGAAAAAGTAAAGAAAACTAGTTAACATATCCATCACCTCAAATAACATGATAAGTGAAATATCAATCACAGAAAGACACCTGCCACAGCTCTCACTTATATGTGAAATCTAAAATAACCAAATTCATAGAAACAGAATGGTAGTCACAGAGGCTGAGGGGAAAGGGAATGGAGACGATGTATGACACCACCAAATCTCAGGCGGACAGGAAGAATATGTTTCTCCTATTTTTTTCCTGTTGAACATTATGATAAATATAATACTATATGTTTCAAAATTAAGATAGAAATTGTCAAGCATTCTCACAACAAAGCTTATAGTCTTGTTTTGTTTCCACAGCACCAACCTACTTCCAAAATCATTTATATGCAAACAACTAATTTTTAAAGCAGAAATACACAATTATATTACTCCTTTCTTATTTCCTAGTATAATTTCCTGTAAGTCATAGTAAATGGAAAAAAAAGACTTTTTAAATCTTCTTAAAATAGCTTTTGAGAACAGCCCCCATGACATTTTTTTTAAAACTCAACATTTTTGGAACAAAGATGATGGAACCTTTATTTTCAAGTTAAACCACAACAAAAGAAAATAAAATTCTACTTTTTATATACTTAAACACTCAATCATTGTTGGCTAAAAGAAAATTATTTTTTAAATTTATAGTGTAAAGGCTAGCGATGTAGTTCAGTGGTAGAGCACACAGCTGGCCCTGGGCTGAATACCACACATAGCAAAACTTAGTTGATTGTATTCCACAATTATTAAGAATTACCCTGAAAAAAAAAAAAAAGACATCAATAACCTAAGTCTCCATTTATTTGTAAAATCCCTTACTTTGTCCTTTAATAAATTTGTAGAAGTTTAAATTTGCTACTTGCAAGAGACAGAGTCATGAAAAATAGTGTCCTCAATTACATGCACATGAGACACGTTACTCCATTCCTAGTTTGAAGACACGGTGGTATCTTTGCTAATGGTGACTTGACATTGAGGGGAAATTAACCAAGGAAATGTGACTGTGGATTTCACAGTATTGTATTACACAGGGTGAGGTTGTTGTTTTGCTTCATTTTATTAGGGTCTCTTTTTTACATAAGGCAAAATCAAAAAAATATTGGACCTCAATTACCATCTGAAATAGTACAACAACTTATTAATACTATATACAAGATAATTCACTATCTGGGAGGGTGGGATTGAGCCAGGGTGTCATTATGTATTCCAGGCCTTGAACTCAACGTGATTCTCCTGCCACAGCTTCCTGAGTGCTGGGATTAGAGGCATACACCACCAAGCCTGGCTAATTCAGTTTAAAGCTGCTTGGCAGGAAGGTTTAGTTGATGTACTTTATTAGAAGCAACAGGAGATATAACCTATTAAAATAGTTATAGACTTCACCTTGAAGGATATATATAAACAATGGTAGTTACTGTAGTTATGAGTCCTGCTTATACCTCCATTGTGGAATTGTAGAAAATTAATGTGTTGATTTCTATATGTAGATCTAAAATATTACCAAGGATTTTTTTTAACAAATCCTATTACCTGACAGACATGTATTATAAGAAGATCTGGAATTTTTTTTTTTTTTTCAGAACTGGGGATCGAACTCAGGCCCTTGGGCTTACCAGGGAAGCGCTTATTCCACTGAGCCATCTCCCCGGCCCCCTTGGAAATTAAATTTAAAAATTCAACAATTCATCCATTTAACTTCATTTTTATCTTTCCTTTTTCAACAAGA